TAAGTAACTATGTGTCCTGTAGATTCTTGTTTTGTAATAGCTCATTAAACCTGTAATGAGTTTCTTGACCTAAGTCTCTGTTGGTTACTTACAAGGAAGGGTTTTTGATCTGTCTGTTTGTCCTTTTGAGGCTTTCCTGCTCTGTGGCTCAATCTGGCCAGAATTCACAATCCTGTTGCCTCTGCCTCCCTAGTGTTGAAATTACAGATGGGTATTATACAAGGAAGTTATTATTACAAATGTAAATTTTTAATCTTTCATGATTGATATAAAGTATTAACAGTCAGTAAAATTTAGATCAATTTTAACTCTACTATAATTTAAACATAATTGGTCTTTAGTATCCCGTAATAGAGCAAGTCTCTAGAAGTATTGTCACTAATGTCCTAATGGATACTCATTAAATTTCTAGTCTCGACCCATGTTAATGCTGTTAGTGAACTAATTACCAAAGAGCCTGGTAAACATTGTGACTTCTTTGGATGCAGCAAGATTTCTAGTAAAGCTTCATCTAGAAATGTAAAAGCATTTAATTTTTTCTCTACAATAAGTGTGAACTGATAAGGGTGAGTGGGTGGGGCAACCGGAAGTAATTACTAAGCTAGTGGCATTTTTGTGGTTTAATAAAGGCAGAAACTAATTATTCAGTTTTTATTTAAGTGAAATGATGCCAGAAAGGAGGTTCCTGCAGAGCAGCTGCACTTCTTCAGTGTCACCCTAATTTACCAAAGACACAACTGTCACAAACAGAACTTTTAACTTGATATATACCCACAGAAGTAAGGAGGCTTTTGTTTGGAGTGCATGCTGGAGAACTCCTTCATACAAGTCAGCCGGCAGATGACGGACAATGATGAAAATTTGATTCTTTGAAGTCATAATAGTCATTGAAATGTGTGAAATTCTGGTATTGAAAAGAGTCCGGCCAGCGAGACTCTAAATGCTGGGTGGTTGCAGGAAGCTTGCTGGGAGGTTTTTCTGCATTGTGACACCAACTTCCCATTGCTTGTTCCTTACTTCCTTTGTTAAAAAAGAAAAAAAGTTGAATTCACACAAGATAAGTGGGGACAGATGATAACCGAATCAGTTTTTAATATGGAAAACTAATATTTTACCATTTAATATTATTAGGATAGTTACATTCTCTAATAATAGAAATAGATTATTTTAACTCAACTGTTTAAAGGTAAGAAGCTTTAAAATTGAGCAAATCTGTGCATTGTCTATGTGGTAATATGATTTATTAGAACTTACAGATACTCTTAACTAGTGTGTTGAGATTCTTTGGTGTCAACTTGATGACTTCTTATACATTACATGACTTTGACTTTTTCCTGATTTCTAGAAAAATTTGAAAAAAGAAATTAATGAAAGATAATATTGACATATTTAGGTCATTGCTTATAAAAATAGTATTTTAGAAAGATCATAGGTGATTAGTACTTTAGAACAAAAGTAGAAATCCATAGAGAATTCGACTAATTCAGCAGTTTAATTTTCAGGTGTTTATTTGTTTGCTTGTTTGCAAAATATAAGTCATGGGTAGCTCAGTGTGAATTGAGAGAAAAAGGAAATCATTGAAGACATTCAACATAGGGCTTACAGATCTTTCCAAGTGTTACTGTGTTTGAATGGAATCTTGGAGTGGGAACATTGCAGTGTGTGTTTGAGAAGAGGTTCTTGTTACTAGTTGACACTGTTTGCATGAAATGATAACAGTGCATTTTATTAGAGTGAGAAATAAGTTTGTCAAAGCTGAGAGTGCATTTGCAGAGACTTGGAATTGGAGAGCTTCTATGACCATTAGGTGTCTCAAGTATGTGAACTGCCAAGCCTTTGTATTCTCTGTCCTGGGCGGCAGGAGCTTACATTTTCTGCAGGCAAAAACAGTGAGTCTGTCAGTACAACTTGCAAGGGCTTCAAAATTCAGAAACTCCTTGCTTTAAATATCAGCTTAAAATTAGAGACATGTGTTAATAAAAAAAAGTGCCAGAATTTGAGGAGACATGAAACATCAGTAGTTATGAATTCAGATATAAAGTATAAGCTTTATTGGATTATTTTGCCGGACATGCATCACAGTATAGAAGTATGGAAAAATGAGTATTTCCTATAATCTTATTTTCTGGAGGTAAAAAAATTAATTGAATATTTCCTTTCATACAGTTGAGGAACAGCCATGTAGCATAGTTCCATTCATTAGAAACGTGGTGCAGAATAGAGGCATTGATGTGGGCTTTGGAGAAGATGCCTACCCATTAATTTTATAGCATGTTTATAATGAGTATTTATACTTTGCTACAACTATAATAAGGAAATGTGATCTTAATCTGAGACTAAAAAGATGGCTCAGAAGACTGAGAACTATTCTTTCAGAGGACCCAAGTTCACTTCCCAGCATCATAGCTCACAACTTCCTGTAATTCCAGCTCCAGGAGATCTGACATCCTCTTTTGCACTCTTCCGGCACCTGCTCTCATATCTGTACATAATTATAAATAAATCTCTTTAGAAAATATAGTAGCCCAACAATAGAGAATATTAATAAACTAAATGGCAGTTGCCAAGGAAGAAGTAAACATGGAGAACCTCTCACAGAGCCATGTCACTTCAAGCTCTAAGCAGAGGACTTTAGAAAGTCACTTCTTAAAATGTTAACACTTGGGCTAGGAATATACCTTAGTAACAGAGTTCTTGCCAAACTATGTGTGAAGCTCTAAGTTCAATTCCCAGCCCCTCCAAAAAAAAGTGGACGTGCGGGGGAGCTCGTTTTCCCATGGTACCGTGCTGGGGATTCAACTAAATGTTAAGCAAATACTGCCTCAAAATAAATAAAAGTTATGACTTTATTTTAAATAGGACCCGGTAATTGAAAATTACCAATTAGAGCAAATGAAGCGTCTCAGTTGGGTAGAGGTGCTTGTACCCAGGCCTAATAACTTGAGTTAAAATTCCAGATCCCACAAAATGGAAGGGGAGAACAAATTCCTTAGAGTAGTCCTCTCACCTCCAGAAGTACACTGCACCTGCACTCACATAAACAAAAATAAATAAATAAGTAAAATTATTTTGAAGCCACCATTCATTATTAATGCTTACGTTTTCTATACTAATTGTAGTCGTATCATTTTCTTGTCTCCTAGATATAAAGCACTTTGTTGCTTTTTATACTAGTTGTAAGAAAGCTTTGAAAAAAATCTAATGTCAGTGCACATTAGATGTTCATATTTATCTGGCTGAGGAGATGACTTAAGGGATACCGTGTTTGTGGGTTTGTGGCACAGCTGTCAGAATCAGAGTTCAGATCCCTACCATCCACATAAAAGCTTGACATATATAATTGCCTGAGTATAATCCCAGGGTTTGAGAGTAGGGGACACAAGACCCCAGAGCAAGCAAACTAGCCTAAGTAGCCAAATCAGTGAATTTCCATTTTAGTGAGAGACCATCTCAGTAAATACAGTGGAGAGCAACTGAGTAAGATACCTGCCACAAACACAGGCACTCCACACAGTACTCACAAGAAAGCCTATTACCAAGCAAACATGTTTCTGCATCATTTTAGAAGTTTCTCTAAATAGATAAGTTGTAACAAAATAACAACGCCTCACAGTACAAGAAGAAAGATACTGTGCTAGACTTAAGTAACAATGAATTTTGTTCTTTTAATCTTAACACATATGTGAGCTCAGTGTTTCCCTAGTACCTACTGTAGCACTTTGATTCATAGCACTAACAAACAAATTACAAGTAAGCAGCTTTCATTAGCAGATATGTATGACATTGAAACAAAAAATAACAAAACAGGTTACATTTTCTGGTTTTACAAATTTGATATAACCATTCTCTTAACTTCAAACAGCTATTCAAAAGTTTCTTTATCAACTTTCCCCCTCCTTTGGTAGTACTGGGAATGAACTCAGGGCCTTACACACGGGATGTAAGTGTTCCATCCCTGTCCCTAATGATTCGGGATATTTTTTTAAAAGAATGTTATGTATGTTGAGGGTTGGAATGCTAAGTGGGTAAAGCTCCTAGCACACAAGCATGAGGACTTGAGTTCAGATCCTCAGGAATCATAGAAAAGCCAGGTACAGCATCATATACCTATAATCCCAGCTCTGGAAGGTAGAGAAAGAAGGATCTTTGGGGCTTGCTGGCCTGCCAGTCTAGCCAACAGGTGAACTTCCAGTTCAATGAGAGACCCTGTCTCAAAATAAGATGAAGATGCAATTGAGAAAGACACGTGAAATCAACCCTGACTTCCACATACCACTCCCCCCACACCCCTCAAATAGGGGGTAGGAATTCTGGGAAGGAAAAGTTGTCCCCAACAAGCATTAATTACTCCTATCTTTTTAGCATGACTTAAGGTGGACACCTGCTCCAGGATGGTCCCTTGACCAAGTGATTGGCTAGTACCATTAGTACTATTAAGGGAGGAGATAATGACACCTCTCCACCGAGAGGCAGATTCCATTCTTTTGGCTAGGAAGTAACAACTTTCCGTTAGTGGGCCTTTCATGCTTCTATAACATCAGTTGTCCCCTGTCACAAAGTAAGAACTATTGACAACAAACTCCTCCGAAATGGCTGTGCTGGCTCTAGAGGTGGAAGTAGGAGCATTAGAAATAGAAGTTAAAGGTTGTCTTTAGCTGTTGGATACAAAAGAGTCTGTGCAGAAAAGAAAGAGGAGAAAGGAATAGCATGATGAACTGTTCATAGTTCAGTGGTTGGGCACTTGGTTGGCCTGCAGAAGGCCTTGGGTTCAATCTGTACAAAGGAGACATTTTCATTGCTCCTCTTTCACTGTACCCCAGTACAGGAAGCACAATGGCAATTTACAAAACAAAATATCAGGGTAGTAGTGAAGTAAACCAGAAAGATTATCCCAATTTATAAACAATTCAGAAAACAAGCATATCGAGATAGGAAATGGGAAAGGTATGTCGGTTGATATGCAGGTGATCAAAGATGTTTGCTTTCTTGTTCTTCCTCAGGATATCACTACTTTAACTGGTGTTCCAGAAGAGCACATTAAAACAAGAAAGGTCAGGATCTTTGTTCCTGCTCGAAATAATATGCAGTCTGGTGTAAACAACACAAAGAAATGGAAGCTGGAGTTTGATACCAGAGAGAGATGGGAAAATCCTTTGATGGGTTGGGCATCAACGTGAGTACTTTTGAGTATTGTTTCCAATTTTTTTTGTTGAAAATAATTGATTTTTTTCCTTTAAACACTAACTTTTCTTAGAGCTAATAGACTCATTAAGATCCTTTTTAGGACAGTTGGTTTTCACTACAACTGAAAACATGAAATTATATAAATATTCCTTTATATATTTACATTATCATTTATAAATGATAAACTTTTTTTCAATGTTTAGCTTCTTTTGGGGGATGGGGTGGGAGAAGTTCAAGACAAGGTTTCTCTGTGTAACAGCCCTGGCTGTCCTGAAACTCACTCTGTAGGCCAGGCTGGCCTTGAACTCATAGAGATCTGCTTGTCTCTGCCTTCCAAGTGCTGGGATTAAGGGCACGCACTACCACTGCCCAGCAAGCAAATGCTTATCTTCTTAATAACAAAAAATGGTACTTAAAATTATTGTTTAAATATACTGAAGCTTGGCTTCTTTTGTGACATATTTTAATTCTTTTTATAAAACTTACATCTTGGGTTGGAGAGATGGTTCAGGAGTTAAGATTTCTTCAAGAAGACACAGGTTTGATTCACAGCACCCACACTAGGTGGTTCCAGGTCAGTCTGACACCTCTGGCTTTTGAGGCATCTGCATTCATGTGCACATATCTCCATACAGACACAGATGCATACACAACTTAAAGTAACAGAACTAAATCTTAAAAATTCATACCTTTTCAAAGACCCTAAATTTCCCCTTCTACGTGATCTACACTTGACTTTTCCCTCTACCAGATTACCTCTGGTTTGAATCTACTATTTGGATGCAGTAACATGGAGGATTTAACAGAGACATAGTCCCAGTGGTGAAGAAGTCTTAACCATTAAAAGTGTAAGAAACATGTCATATAGCACCTAGAAAGAGAATCTTTATATATGTTTGGGAGTTCTTTTCCTGACTTGTAATTAATATACAAATAGAAAAGACACTGATTCCCAGAGTAGGTCAGTGCTAACAGAAAAGGCAATTCTGCAGTTACTGTTAATGTTGTGACAGAAGCTTGATCCCATATATTTTTTGCATGTTTCAGTGGAGGCAGATAAGGAGGTTGCTGTGGAAGTATGTTTTATAACAAATGAATTTCATTTTAATATAGTGAATAAATTTCATTGTTACTTATTTGTACTACTTTTTAAAAAATAATTTTTGAAAGGCCACTTTCTAAAGACAAGTGTGCCTTGATCTTTGTTTTTAAGATTTCAAAATTCACATTTTTAAATACTGTATTGACATTTTGTATCTGAAGTACAAGCTTCTTATGCTCTTTAATTACCCGAGTCTTTTAAATGTTAGAGCTCAAAGGTAAAAGGTTTATCTTTATGTCAACTTGAAAAATATTATAAGTTGCAAAAATGATCCCAAGCTTGGCCCAAGGTTTTACAGTGTAAATCTCCTTAATCCAATAGGGTAGCCCAGTGGGTGCCAGAATAAACCACTTCTTGTCGTTTAGTAGTGCAGCTAGTTGGTTGTTTCTGCTTCTTGTCTCTCTCATCCACTTTTGTCTGTTTTGTTAAGAATTTATAATTGCTTTTCATGCATTTGTTAGTCAGATATACTTCCCAAGAAACAAGTTTCCTTATCATTACTGACTTGGAACCTCAGTAGTTGAGAATTGAAGAAATAAGAGTATAAAAGTAGAAGTACACTTACAAAGATTGAAAGTCATAACAGCTGGAGAGGATAGGGTATGAGGGATTTCATGGAATAGATTGGTGTTCAGGGTGAGCCATGAGAAACGATTAGGGTTGATCTCCATATATAGAGATGAGAGTACTCCCAATGGAAGGAAAGAACAGGCTGTGTGTTCATAGAAGCAATTCTGATTTGACTACTTGGTTACTTATAAGGGATAGTTAAAATGTCTGAAAAAGCATACTGACCATACTATACAAGTGCTTACATAGTAAGGAAGTGGACACTACCACAGTTGACAGTAGAAACTGTTTGAAGGTTTGACTTGGCACTAGTTTTAGGAAATATCTAATAGGAAGGTAAATGTGGTAACATGTTAAACTGTGGGGTGGAATAAAAAAAAAGACAGAAAGATTAAGATCTTGGTAGCAACATAACCTAGAAAGAATTATAAAATATGAGAGAGAAGGGGACTGTCAAACTAATTAGAAGAATGATCACTTGTTAACAGTTTTTTACATATAGTTCTTCATAAAGCAGATAATTAAAAAGCTCTATCATCTTTGCAGGAAATGGATCTGGATTCCTGACTTTCTAGATCGGTCAGTCTCTCTCTCTCTCTCTCTCTCTCTCTCTCTCTCTCTCTCTCTCTCTCTCTCTCTCTCTCTCTCTCTCATCACACACACACACACACACACACACACACACACACTATTGTTATTCTGAACTAATCCAACATGCCTGTCAAAACTCTTCAAATTTATGTTGGGTCATATTTATATTGGCACTTCTGAGTATAACTAGTTTATTTAACTGTGAACGGAGAGGCTATACATAGCCTTGAAAAGGAGCATCAATACAAAGTTATCTTTAGTTTTTGGTACTAATATAGTCACTCAATAAAAGGGGTTTCCTTTCTTACAAGGGGAATTTGTTATCGGAATCCATGATTACAGGAGTCATAAGGAATCCCAGAGAAGCCTACAGTGTATGACCAGATCTGTGGGACTTCAGATCAGTGAGAGTTACCCAGAGTAGTTCTTTTTTTTTCTTCTCAAGATTGGGTGGCAGGTAGTGCAGGCTAATCTTGAATTCTCTGTGTAGTGAGGCTTAACTTTAATTTTCTGATCCTTTATTTCCAGAGTGTTGAAATTACAGGTACACACTTCCCACATTCAGTTTTATGCAGTTCTGGGGATTAACCTAGGGCTTCTTCCATCTCGGCAAGGACTTTACCAGCTGCGCTGTGTCCCTAGCCCCCTACTTCCGTATTTCTGAACAAGTTTCCACAGAATGTTATATTCATCTCTAAGACATTTACACTAAACACTTGTAGCAAACATGAGTATCCTTTTATAAACATAAAATTTGTTTTTTATTTGTTTTGTTTTAAGTAGATCATTCCCTTAAAAGAACATTGTTGGTGATGGAAGGCTTGTGGAGAATAGGTGCTTTTTTTTTTAAAGAAGTGATAGTATATGGATGTTTCTTAACTACAATGGTGTTAATGTCCCAGCAAACACATCACAAATAGAAAATGTCATAAGTTGAAAAGTTTCCTACTACTAGCCTGTTTAGTATGGTAATTTGGTGATGCAGTTGTTTTCTACTGTGGTCCAACATGGCTAACTGGTTCATTGCTATTGCCCATCATTCAGCTGAACATTTAAAATTTGGAAAATATTTTCTTGGACCAATGGGTTGGCTCAGTAGGGTATAGTCAACTCCTGCAAGCTTTCCTGTGATCTCCACATGTGTGCTATGACATTTGTGTAAACACAGATGCATACACATTAAATATTTTAAAAGAAAATCATTTTCTGTTATTGTATATTTCTCTGTCACCATCATAAAGGTGGAAGTCTTAAGCAAAGCAATCAAAATGGTAGGTAGCTGTCTGCACTGACAATTTTATTTGGTGTCATTTCTTGATACTGAAGTTTCTAAGGTCAGCGTGGGAAATATTCTGAGGTTTTTAAATTCAAAACTACTTTGTACTTTTTAATAAAGTGAACTTGAGTGTTTTTGCTATTATGATTTTATTATTAGATAATGCATACTAGAAAGGTCAGATTTAACATAGAAATAAAGTATTGTTTTTCAGAGATTATTACAAATAAAATAGTGTCATATATTCTTGAAATTATACTAGCTGTTTATTTTCTAAACATAGTATTTAGAATGTTGATTGTCTTGCAACCAAAGCTTAATATTAAATCATGTGCATTCTTTCTTATAGGGCTGATCCCCTCTCCAACATGGTTCTAACCTTTAGTACCAAAGAAGACGCAGTTGCCTTTGCAGAAAAAAATGGTATGATTGTGCTAAGTTCCTTTCTAAATCAAGATAAGAGTTTGTGTTCTTAACCTTGAAGTCATTTAAGAATTTGAAATTTGGACAGATAACTTAGTTGGTCAGTCATTCACCCCAAGTCAGAGTTTGATCCTTGACATCCACATGACAGAATCAACTCCGACAGCACCACACCATAAATAAATGTAAAGAAAACTTTTTTTTAGAGCATATGAAATTTGAGTTGAAAAATACTTTCTGTGTATCTGGTCCAATGGTGTTTAGGTTTGTTTCTACATCAAACTTTCTCCCTGCCCAAACAAAATCTAAAATGGAAATGTCCAGTGTTACATAGAAAACCAAACTTGAAACAGAGACAGATAGAGAGTTCAATGGCTCACACTTGCCTTGTTTGTGAATCTTCATGCAAAAATCCCCAACATTTAGTTACTTAAGCTCTAATTGCATATCTCATGAGGTGGTCTATAGTTTCACTGTAAAGTTCTTTCTTCTTTTGACCTAAATCTAATGCTTGTTATTCTACCTAATAGCCTTTTAATTACTTGAAGGGAGTTATCTTATTCACTCTAAACTTTCCTTTAAGATTAAACGTCTACATTTGCTGCCTTAGTAGATATGACAGGTCTAATACCAAACATAATCTCAACAGTACATTGCAACATAATATGTAGAAGCTTTTGCAAAAGCAAACACATACTGTTCATAGTGATCTTGTTGTAAACAAATTTTAAAATTCTTTTTAAAATAATTTTCTGCTATTAAGCCAATATGCTGTACTGAAAAGAAGGCATTGGGGCCAGAGCAATCTATATACTACCCCATTTTAAAATTATGTGTTTAATTTCATAGTGGATTTAATGTTTTTGGTTTTTTTTTTTCCACTGTTAAGAATACTTATAGTGGGCTGGAGAAGTGGCCTAGTGGTTAGGAATCCTGACTGCTCTTCCAGAGAGAAACCAGCTTTCAGTTTCTAGCACCTACGTGGTGACTCACAGTTGTCTGTAACTCATGCATGTAGTGTTCAGACACACACTATACACATGAAATAAATTTTAAAATAGTACATATGAAATGAGAATGCCAGGTTTTTACCTGAAATATTGTAGGTAAATGGTAATGCTTGTCTCTGACCCACACCTCCCTGCCTGCATCTGGCATCCTTACAGTTTGTCTCTTACATTTAAATGCTCTACTGTATATTTGCATCTAATGCATTGTACTTGACAATGCATGTGTTGTATGACTTTTCCTGGGGAAAATGCCAGTCAATGACTATTCTCCCAGAAAAGGCACCAACAAGAGACCAAAGCTTCTGTTCCGCATGAGTCTACCTTAGCAGTGAGCTGATTGAATGGGTGGCTCCAAGCTAGCTGTATCACTAGACAGCCCACCCCATCCTGGATGATGACCCACAAAAGCTGTTTCCCTTGTGTTCTGCCTGGTTTGTAGGTAGCTCCACTGAAGAGTCTTCTCTCCCCAGTAACTGTTTACTGCTTCTATAACCTCAACAGATCCGTGAGTCTTACAACTTCCTGAGCCTCATTCCTCCTTCAGGATAGAACAGTTGAATTTAAAGGAAATTGCTAGACAACATGTTAGGAAATCTCCTAAGTTTAATACAGAAAGAAATATTAAAGTTCTAGCTGGGTGGTGGCGCACGCCTTTAATCCCAGCACTTGGGAGGCAGAGGCAGGCAGATCTCTGTGACTTCGAGGCCAGGTTGGACCAACAGCCTCCAAAAAAACAATACAGAGATACCCTGTCTCGTAAAACCAAAAAAAAAAAAAAAAAAAGTTCTACCTGTTCCATTTGGATTTCAATGTCTATTTGTTATCTATTGGAATTAGATAAAATACACACCTTATATATTATTAGTATAAGATTTTATGTGAAAATTTCATGTTATCTAATATATTTGATGTACACATCTGAAAGCACTGTAAATGTTTTCTAGCATATTTGTTACACTTCCTCATTTAGTATTACATAACCTATGATTAAGAATCTAAAGTCAGGATCTGGGGGTAAACAGGATAATGGCAGAGCATATGCTGAACATACCCTGGGTTTAGAGCCAAAATGTATTTGAAACGATGGCTGGTCATTGTGACTTTGTACCTGTTTCCATATGTATAATGAGAATTTCTGTGATAATTAAATGAATTCATAATTAGCAGGTGACTAAAGAGGATCTGACATATTACACATGAAAGTACATAAATTTATCTTATGTTGTTAGAATAGACCAAAAACTTTTCTCAAAAAGATTTTTTTAGGTGCACTCTTCTTGAACACATTTGGCCAACTTTTAAATTTCTTACATATGAAATCGTTGTCGGGGTAACTGTATTACTACTTTGATTCAAGATAGCATTTCTCTACTTTAATTAAACAGTTCTATTAATATTTCCATCCTTTCAGCCTTCCATACTTCATGTCTCACACCTTGCAAATTACTCATCTGGGGTTTGTATCATGAGTTCAATAACAGGAAATCTAATTATCTGTTAAATCCCTAGCTAGCCTTTCTCTAAGTGGTCACAAGGCATATATGACTACGGTTGCTATGCGACTTGTAGGTGTGAAGTAGACACGCTGCTATTGAAATCAGGTGATTCTCTAATTTGATTTACCTCGCCAGGAAAAGAGTCGGGTAGTCAAAGTCAGTAGGAAGTGTAAGCTGAGAAAGCTTAGCGGGCAGTGACTTAGAAAACAGCACTCAGTGGATCAGAGTCAGTCCTGATCTGTCCAGCACTGCAGAACTGTCTGAGCCACTGCTTGTCTTCAGCACTTTCCACCAAGCCTGGCATATGCGTATACCCTGTACCCAGTGAAATTAGGGCTCTGTAGGCTCAAGAATTTAAAGCTACACTGACTTTCAGGACAATGCCCTGCTTTGTATTCACTGTGGTACTTGTGATCTGCTCTGTGTTTTTAACACTTAGCATTATGCATCTTTAAGTAGGTAAGTCCTACTTTTTTGAGGTATAGTGGCAGCAAGGTGTCTTAGTCACTTTCTGTTGCTGTGAAGAGATACCATGACCAAGGCAAAGTCTTATAAAGAAAGCATTTAGTTGGGGGATTACTACAGTTTCGGAGATTTAGTCTATTAGCATCATGGCAGGAGCATGTTAGCAGGCAGGTATAGGGCTGGAGAAATAACTGAGAGCTATATCCTGATCTGCAGGCAGAGAAAGAGAGCCTGGGTCTGGCATGGGCTTTTGAAACCTCAAAGCCCACCTCCAGTGACGCATGTCCACACCTCCTAATACTATCAAAGTTCCACTCCTTGGTGCCCAAGCATTTAACTGTAAGAGTCTATGGCTGCCATTTTTATTCATATCGCCATACAAGTTCTAAGTAATCCTCCTGAATTTCCCAGAAACCCTTTCCATTATGATTTACTTCTCTTGGACCATTGTAAGGGACATATGTAAAAGGAATTTTCTGTCCCACCTAGAGCCACAGCCGTTTAGTCCCAAATAAACACACAGAGGCTTATATTAATTGTAAACCGTTTGACTGATATCCCGGGCTTCTTATTGCCTAGCTCTCTCTTAATTATTAACCCATTTCTATTAATCTGTATATTTCCATGTGTTATTTGCTTACCTGTGATGTCCAGGTCTCTTGCTTTCTCGGCAGCTACATGGCATCTCTCTGACTCTGCCTGCTAACTACATCCTGCCTGTTCATTGGCTGAAACAACCTTATTCATCAACCAATATATTCATGGCATACAAAAGGATATCCCCCACCAGACATATAAATGAAACTTCCTTTCTCCTATACCTAACATAATTTTATTGTGAGCTAATGCTATTGAAAGTTATGTAAACCAATGTCTAAATTACCAAATGTAGGACATTGAAATGCTTCAAGCTGGTTTGGGGTCACACAGATGTAATTCCTGCACATGTGAATTTGAGGCAGGAAGATCAGAAGTTCAAAGCACCAATATATAAAGACTGCTGGATTAAGAGACCAGCAACTAGGATTATAATTGCACATTGTCTTGCCACACAGGATGGGTTGACCAATCATGCATCAGTACACGTGGCCTTTAATACACATTTGTTAGAACTGTATATGTTAAGGGTGTTAAGCTCATGGATCAGCCCTGACCTCATTTTCTCTGCAGGAGAAAATATATTTGTGTTGGGAAAGGTGGCTCTGTTGAGAGTAAAATCTTCAAAGATTCTTCATTTGTGATTAGGATATGCTTACTTTTCAGTAGTATCCAGAAGTCAGAGGTCAAGGTAAAACTGTTTTGAAAGAAAAAGATAATTTATATATTCAGAATATTCTAAAAACATATTTTCTTAGTTTTTCCTTTCCTCAACATCCAAATGTTAAATTTTAAAAAGAGAACACATGATTATCATTTCCTTGCATAAAGTTATTTGTAGAGAATCAGTACGTTGAGAAATAAGATCTATAGATCTGCTTGCTTTCCAGACATGTTTATTGACCTCTATTATATTTTGAGAACTCAGGCAACAAATGCCCTCATGACAAAGGTTAATATTTAGAAATAGTCATGATCTTCATTAGAACCCCAAGAAGCATGAATAGTCATTATCTTACGCAAGGAAACTAAGTAATATTAAGTAGTAATGTCACATTTACAATTTGAAAAAATTATATTTAAAAAGTCATGGACCAGTGAGGTGGCTCAGCCAGTAAAAGCACAGATTACCTAAGTAATCCCTGGGACCACATTGGTAGAAGAGAACCGATTCCCCCAAGTTGTCTTCAGACACACATAGATGTGGCACATGCACACAAAATAAATAAAGTGTAGTTAAAAGGTCATATTTATCCATTTATACATAGTCTGTGATGGCTTCTGTATGACAGTGATAGAACTGAGTTGCTGTAATAGCGACCATGTGTGAGAGAGAGAAGTTGCCAGGTATGGTAGTTGCCTTTAATCTTAGAGTCAGGCTGATCTTTTGTGAGTTCAAGGCCAGCCTGGATGACAGAGTGAGTTCCGGGACAGCCAGGGCTGCAAAGAGGTTAAATCTTTATGTAAACAGTGAAAAAACTTGGTGAGCAACATGACAGGATTTGATTTATTTGTCAAGGAGAAAAAGACTATGTCAAAGTAAAGAAGACAGACTCAAATACAGAAAGCGGATGAAAGCAAATATGACTTCTCTAGATTCTGGCACATAAAAATATTGAGTCTGAAAAAAATATATAAAATGTGTAGAAATTTTAGCAAAGTCTGCTTCAGGCTGCTGGCTCAGATCCCAGGTTACTGTCTCCTTGTATAATATAAAGGCTATTTTTCTAGCACCCCACCTCCCTCCAAGGCAAATATTCTGGGTTATCAGTGATTTAATAAACTCTCTGTTGACTTCAAGAGCTAAGGTTTTTATAGCTATGCTACCCTCTCTGCTAATTTTTATGTTTTACTATGACTTAGTACCAAATTTCACTATGTAGGAAACCATGATCCTATTACAAGCTTATCCATTCATATCTAGTACCTCCTGCTTTTATTATGTACTTCTGTGGCACTGGCTATCAAACCAGAGCTTGTTTATGCTTGGGTATGTGTCCTATTGCTGAGCTACAATACTTGACCCACTATTTTTGCCTTTCCTAAACAAAACATACAATGTTAAGGCTCCACAAGTGACCTCATTAAATTCAGACACTTTCACTGCAGCGGGAAGTGTTTGGAATAAGTACATTTATCTGGCATGCAATTACTGAAAAGCTGCTTTGGAAGAGACAGACATTTAAGTCAGGAGATGCTTGGCCACCTTGGGGTTAAATTTGATGGGTAAAAAGGTTACCGAAATAAGCACGTCTAAGGTTGTGTTCCAGACTACGAGTATTGATTGGGTTCATTTTCTCTGCCAGTTAAAGAATTAAAAGGCAGAGAGCAGAGAGAAATCTCAAACTCTGCTAATGGGGCAGACAGACTCAGCAATGAAAAAAGGTATTTACTGGGGGGTGAGGGAACACAGTATGCAGCAGACCCTCCCCAAAGCTCTTCTGAGGGCTGGGTTTTTTTCCTCTTCCTCTCCTATCCTAGGGTCATTTGGTTTGAAGAAAGACAGAATGGTTGACTGGCCCACAACTGTTGTGTAACATGTCAGAGAAGAAAAAACCTATAAGGCCTTTGTCTTAAGCTGCCAGGCTTTTGTTAGGTCCTGAGGTTGAGGAAAAGTTTGCCACCTTTCTTACCTAGTCATGGCTCCTCTCCTTGTCCATCCTCCTCCCTGGGAGTCTGTCTACCCCTAGTCCTGGAGATTGGTTAAACTGTCACTGTCTCTATGTCCATTTATCAAAGCCCTTCTATTGCTTTGGTTAATAATAGAAAATTGTTTCAGTTACTTTAAAAAAACATGAGCTTTAGTTTAAATCTCATTATCTTCCAAGTCAACAAACATTAATTTGGAATCTACAACCATTTACCTGAGTTTCACATACAGGTATTTAGTATGTCCATCAGGCTTACTGTATCTCTACAAGGGAGAATACCGCCCTGAACTAGCTGA